TTTTTATCATATTATCCTTTTTTCAGGTGATATATTCTGCATGTTTTATGCAAAGGAGCCCAATTCTGCATCAAGTTCTGGCTCTTTTATCAATTATCTAAATATTATAGGAGTTCGATGATAAAAAATCTTCTTTGCCAGATTGTTTTAGACAGAATTATATTGTTTTTTCAGAACGAGAATACAAATCTGCGAGTCACACTCTAGCATTTTCTCTGAGTAGATCCTTTCCAGCGAACTCATATAAGGCAATTATTAAAACATTCGGCATGTTCGAGATACTGTCTGACAGTATCTCGAAATGTTGGCCTTAAATTAAATATTCGTATTTTAGATCATTTGAACATCATTATTCGAAACAGTTCATCTGATCATGGATCATGTCCATCAGCTTCATTAATATCTTTCCTGCCAACGGACACTGTCCAAAAACAGTTAACAAGAGATGATGATGTAAAGCAGCATTTATGCAAACAAATTAAAGTGCTGAACAAGTCGATCAGACGATTAACGAACGTGCAAGTGGCAAATATTGTGAATATTCAAAAAGAACTTTACGACAATTTTTTTCTATCTCTTGTATTAAAACAGACGGAAGCCTTTCTTCGGAGACGAACACTGCTAGCAAGTCATAAAAAAATGGTATGTGAGAATACTCCTGTCAAAGCACTTTAGATTTCCTCTATGTGTCACTTTTAAATATTGAAGGTTATTAATGACGTTGATCTGATGACAATATCAGCCGTCGACGCTTCACGTTACACAATAAAAGTGGCACGCGTGTTATTTTCTAAAGAAGAATTAATCAATGGTTGTCTTGCTGACTATCGTGGCCTGCGGGATGGAAAAGTAATTATTAACGACGAAAAAATTAAAACAATCAAAGGTAAATCATTTATCTCGTTCTTGCAAATTGTTATTGTCCTACACCAGTGAACAACCCGTCCCACTATGTAAGGTAACGGTGAAGAGCGCATTTCATTGGAAACGACCAAGTTTTAATCGATCGGAACGCGTGCTAGTATAATATTGACAGTATTTGAAAGAACGCGTTCAGCTGTTTTTGAGAACGCAGAAGAATGAGCTCTCAATTTTCTCCGATGAGTTTTAGACTGATCGACCACGTTGTTCAAGCAAAAGTTCCACATATCTAAAAGTTTGATGCCGACAAGTTTCTGCTTGAACTGATAGTATCATTCTTATCAGTTATAAAACTTATACTTATTAAGATGTGGCCAAATATTTTTCTTACTAATAAACACACGTTGTTTTGTCAAAACAGACGTTTTTGCTATTTGCCACTGACTAAAACTCTAGAAAAAAATTTCTTAATAACTATAGTGGAAAGAAAAGCACTGTTGCCAAAACAGTATCTTGTGAAAACTCTAATTAATTCTTACATTATTATCATAAGATCGGATGAAATATTGTTTGATATGATCCTAGCCTGAAAATTAGCCTGAAGGTACATTTATCTAGCTGCATGCTGGTTGAAATTGTGTACTAGTTGAAACAGCCACTACATGGGCCAATTAATCGAGCAATGAATTGCCCGATTAATCAATAGCAACTAGTTGTACCCAATTGAAACTAGCTTCAATCTAGCTGAAGCTAGATGAAGTTTTCATGTATTTCTGTGCAGCTAGATAAATGTACCTTTTAATCTAGATGCAGCGCCCGCTTCATGATTTTTTTTCGTGCTTGGGTTCCTCTTGATCACTGGAGTGGCGATTTGCCGATTCATGGCAAAAAATTAAGGAAGTATTGAACTTAAAAACTTTGGGTAGATGTCTTGTAGTGAACTCCATAAACTATCAATTGGTAAAAGAAAGTATTTTGTTTCGCTGGTTTGTCTCCGAAAAAGATGAATTACAAAATCGATGACTTTTGAAATATCACAAAAATCGGATTTTTTTCAGAAAATATTTTTCTACCAACAGGCAAGACACATCTTGATAACCTATTGTGTGGTACATAACGACAATAATGTCTACTACCAGTATTAATGTCTTTCGAAAGTTTCAGAAAAGCTAGGTAGATAAGATACAGACACAGAATGGTCACTGAAGTGACCATTGGGAGGGGAATGACTTGAAAAAGTCCTCTTTTGGGCTTTTCGTAAATTTGATATAGTTCGACCAAAACACGTCGTAGAGAGCTCGGAGACATCTCATTTTGTACAGAATTATTTGTTCTATCATTCTACGTAGTTTGAACAAAATTGTATTCGGGGCTTTAGGTGCTGAAAAACCACAGTGATTACAAAAACTGATCAGCTGAGTGTATTTTCGCCTTTTTCCGCAGCCATATATCTTTTTATGTTATATTGGACGAGTAAAATAAGATAAAAATGAGAAAATCGAACGTTTGTTGTAAAATTTTTCTCTGCATGCATCATAACTAGCAAATCCAATCAGCTAGTGACACGTTTGGTTTTAGCTTAATTATACGTATTTCAATAAAATGAAAATTCTACAGATAGTAGTTTGAAAAAGAATGAGCAGCAACTAGAGATTCTTTTCTTTTCTTCAGTATAGTTTGCATTTAGTTGAAGTATCCATAGAAACAACAAAAGGAGAGTGAAACAAGAAAAGGGAGAACAACAAAATGCTGTTGCAACGTTAAATTAAGAAATTTATTCTTTTCTTGTTCATATTCATTTCTCCGTAGTAAAAAGAGAGTTTTTATTTTTGTTGTAAAAACGCTGCTACTGTAAGTAACTTAAATGAGAAATTGGCTTTTTTTAAAAAAACCAGTTCTGTAGTTTAATGACATATTCCAACTAGCTAGACTTCTGCGAGACAGCCCTAAATCCCTTCCCGTCTGTTTCATACCGTAGGACAGACAGGATCGGGGTTAAAAAAATTGACGGGCTTGGACTCATGGACTTGGAACAAACTATATTTTTCTCGGTTCGGGCTTACAAGCTCGGGACAAGAGGAAAAAACCACGGTCCTTATCCAAACCTAGCAGATGTATTATTTATCGTTTAAATATACGGGATAAACGGTACGGGGAAGCCCGTGATTATCTTTTCGAGACAAAATAATTTTTTCGTGGGGTCGGGCTCAGGGCAACAACAGTCGTTGCCCCGCAGGAGTCTATAACTAGCACTCAGTAACTGCTTTATCACTGGATGTTGCTCTCCGGAAAGGCTTTAATTAAATAAATCTACAATCACTCAAAAAAGTATTCGGACAACTATCTGTTTTTCCCGTATTAGATAAAAGTGAAAAATTTTATCTTTTATTCGTGCTTCATAGTCGAAAAATACGGGAAAAACAGATAATTGTGCGGATGCTTTTTTGAGTAATTGTAAGATCCTTACAGGGCTAAATTATTAAAAAAAACTTTCTTCAATACTTACTGATATTCTTAATAATTGATATATATATACCACGTTGATCTAGATTATTTCTCTAATGCCGTTTTGCAGATTCATTCGTTATTTGTCTGTGGAAACATCAAGAATGTATATTTGCGTTCGGTTATCACATGTATAAAAAGGAATTCTTTTAGTTTTTGGCAAAACGATTAGAGAATAAACAACAGAAGGGATAATTTTATTCTTTTTAGAGAAAAGTATTCACTATAATGAATAAAACTATTTGCACATTAAAATTGACTGAATATTGAATAAAAATAAGGCTGTTTTCGTTATCTCTAGTAGCATTTCTAACCCTAGTAGCATTTCCGCTTCATTTCGCGGCCTCATCTTGCCGCGATTTTGACAAAAAATTTGAAACTTAACGCGGGGTCGATACTGCGGTCGTACCTAATCTTGCTATTTTTCCCGTGTAACGAAAATTTGACTAGCTTGATGCGACAATTCTTTCACGGAATCGCGCTGAAATCCTACAAAGATTGAAACGGGATCTGGACAAGATCCCAGTGAGATTAGAACAAGGTTGCAGGAAGGCTGAGCAAGCTTTCTAGCCACTTATCTGATTGTCACTACGTTCTTTCGATGGTTTAATCTCTTTTTCACCAAATTTCGTCATGTTTTACTCGGTATTTTCTTTGAGAAACGTTACTGCCATTGAATCTCAGAATAGAAGTGAGAGGAGCTGTCTTTGTGTTTCATCTGTGAGTTTTGCCAATAAGGTAACGCTTGCCGCATGTGAAGAAAACATTCACGCTTGAACTTCCAGTGAATCTGTATCTGTAGATACTTGAAAATTGGGTGAAGTTCTGTTTTGGCTATGCCAGAATGATAATCGGATTAAAATAATTTATTTTATTTTTCCATCGAAATAATAAAAAATTAAAAGGTTAACAAAGAAGAAAAAAACTTTAGAAAAGATTGAAAGATGGCAGGGTTATTCTCTGTACAAAAACGTTTTCAATACTTCACTTACTTTCTTTTGCTTTGCATATTACGAGAAATACTACTCCATCACCTTGCAGTACATTTCAACGTATTGTAATGACGGAACGAATCTCTACGCTCTCCCGAAACAACTTAAGCAAATGCTTGACGGTGAAACACCGACTAAAGAAGCGTTGCTGAAATTACGACAACGTTTCGAATATTTATACAGCCAGGCCGTAACCTATAACATGGAGGCCAACACCCATATTGACCAAATTGTTAACAATCTTGATATTGAACACAGTGAACAAAAACGCATAGCTATAGAAGTAAAAAAATGGCAAAACGAGAGCATAATAATGATGATTACACCCCATTTACGTCCCCAGTTAAGCCGCATTAGACATCATACAGCTACCCAAAAGATAGAACAGCTATCCATTACTCTTAAAAACAGCATTGAAAATAATAGCGAACACGAAAAAGCATGTGATATTTTCCTCAAACTAAACGAGAAAAAACATAGTCTGTTTTCTCAACTTAAAAGCCTTGAAACCAGGGTCACCCTCACAGCTCCCCCACCGTCCCTAAAAGCATTTGACATCATACTGCGCACCCCTCTTCAGAATAACGACAATGAAGTAGCTCGAATCCAACACGATTGGGACTTCGCTATCGTCACAGCAAAAGGTACGTTAGTTAAATGTATGATCGATCTTAAAAAGCTAGAAATAGTCAAAATTGACCAAGAAATCGAACGATTCATTAAATTTATCCCTGCTAATTGTGAAAAAACAATTGAGGAACTGATACAATGGAAATTCGAAATAGAGGAAGTCCGCTGCGACTCGAAAATTCATTTTTTAAAACAAAAATTCGAGAAAACCAACAACGGCTAACAAAAAGAGGTCCACACACTTCCTTGCATCCCCATTTCTCTCACCTCACTTTCCCACCACAAGTAAAAAACTATGCTATCCCCCTTTCTTCAATGCAGAAAACACTATTAAATCGAGGTCCCAAATATGTGTTAGCGAATTCACCGATAGTAATGAAACGTCTTCCGTCGGAAATTGAGCATATGAAAGAAAAAATACTAAAAAAATATTATGACCAGCCTTACCGCCAACCCTCTTGTATTCCAAAAATACAACAATTTGCTGATCATGTCAAAATCGAAATAGAGCATCGATTAGGACAGACCGGATATCATAACCAAGATCACGTTCAGCACGCGATTCATCAATTAATTGAACAACAGAGGGAAAAAAATGTTGTTTTTCGACAGACAGATAAATCAAAAATCCTTCATCTGGATCTCCCAGAAAAATATGCACGCAAATCAGCGAACTACATGGCAAGAACCGACGCATACGAGGAAGTTTTTGAAAATCCCCTACGTCTAATGATCGATAATACCAATAAATTACTTTTAAAACTCCTCCAACTCAAAAGAATTAATTTGAAGACCTATGAGAAATTACGACCTAGAAATGAATGTGAGCTCCCCCACTTATATTATAATCCAAAAGACCATAAACCCGGTGAGCCTCTGAGACCAATCGTTGCCGGGATGAAGTCCCCAACCGCCCCTACTTCCGCATATCTTGACCGCATACTTCGGCCAGTCTTTGAACGTTTTACACACCAACATACCCTTCAAAACACTCTTTCCTTCCTATCTCATTTAGAATCACACCCCATAACAGATGATACTCTGTTTGCAACGTTCGACATCACAGATCTATATACTATGATCCCTCAAAAAGGTGCCATATCAGCTCTTTGCCGAATGCTCGCCACTACTAAAAACTACAAAATCAATAATGTTTCCATTGATACATTTGCGCAACTGACACGACTAGTTCTTGAAAACTCCTTTTTTGTCTATGAAAACCGGTTTTACCGACAGACGAAAGGAGGAGCCATGGGTAGTGCGGTAACACAAGTGTTAGCAGATGTATACATGTATGAATGGGAGAAAGAAATTCTTGCATTGCAGAAAAGCGAAGGACAATTGTACCTTCGTTTCCGAGATGACATCTTTCTCACCTCCACTTTACCCTATCAGAAACTGGAAGAGAGACTCAGAAACTTTAATGAGAAAGACGAAAATATTAAACTAACACACGAGATAGGCAAAACAGCTAATTATCTTGACGTGACCATCTTTGCACAAGTACCCCGCTGCAGGACCATCGTATATAGAAAACCGGCAGCACAACCCTATTTATTACCATTTACTAGTTCCCATCCTAGGCACATCAAACAAAATATACCGTACTCTGCATATATACGAGCAATTCGCATATGTTCTGACACATCAGACGGAGTACAAGAATTTTCAAACATTAGATATCGCCTTCTACTAAACCAATATCCCTCAAAATTCATTGACGCACAAGTTAAACGCTTACTGCGAGATTTAAAACTATCCACCCTCGACCA